AGAGGAGAGGAAGACAGCGGTGCCGGCCAGTTACCTTGCAGCTAATCGGACGGAACCTTGACCTGGTACACTACAAAACAACATACTAGTTGGTGCCCGGCCGGGATACTTTTTTTATTTTTTTTATATATAAAATAATTTAGTATTATCCTTCAATTAATTTAGAGTTATGGTAAAATTACTCATCTTTTTCAATTTCTTCCAAATTTTGATTGACATTTCTCTTGCTCAATACCAAGTCTTACTTTTTTATTGCACAATTTTGGTCTAAAAACATTCTACTATTGACTAAAAATTGTCTTAATCAAAATTTGCCTGACATTAATAAATGTTATAAGTTGTAATTGTTATGTCACAACTTACAATATGATATCCACTTCTTAATTTAAGATATTATATCTCGATTTAATGAATACCTATAAGAACAAACAAAAGCCTCTTTTGATTTCATTGCATCAATGCTTTTGAGATTACCATTACCATAAGTAATTGAGTTATGGTTAACCGGCCGAATCGGATTCAATCAAGTTGGCCCATACTTTTTTTGTTAAGAAATATGTATCCAATGTAATTAGTGAAGAGTTTAACTATTATAATCTAGAATGAGTTTAAAGTTTATATGTATTAATAATAAGAAGGTAAAAACAAATCCTAAACCTAATTTGGCCTACCCAGCAACCTTTCATCTCCACTTCTTAATTTAAGATATTATATCTCGATTTAATGAATACCTATAAGAACAAACAAAAGCCTCTTTTGATTTCATTGCATCAATGCTTTTGAGATTACCATTACCATAAGTAATTGAGTTATGGTTAACCGGCCGAATCGGATTCAATCAAGTTGGCCCATACTTTTTTTGTTAAGAAATATGTATCCAATGTAATTAGTGAAGAGTTTAACTATTATAATCTAGAATGAGTTTAAAGTTTATATGTATTAATAATAAGAAGGTAAAAACAAATCCTAAACCTAATTTGGCCTACCCAGCAACCTTTCATCTCCTCCTTTGGGCGCAATAGGTCTGGTGCATATTGTTTCCGCAACTGTTCATTTTTGTCTCTCTTTGTTCCTCTTCCAAAACCAAAGATAACCCATGGAGAGAGAAGCAATTTGCTTTCCTTGCTCGCCAGAATTCTGCAAACCCATACCTATTTTTATTATTCAATGTGCCCCATGTCTCTATATCTCTCTCTCCCTCCCCCAAAGTGAAGGAACCCATGGAAAATTAAACCACAGCTCCCAGTGACATGCAGATGATTCTCGAAATTATACGGAAGTGCGGGACGGCCGCAAATCGTTTCTCAAGAGGCTTCTGTCGGATTTTGTGTATTTATTGCTTTCCCCGATCCAGTTATAGATAATGTCAAAATTAACCTACTATCCGGTGGAGGCAGCGCACCTTCTATTCCTTTTTCCGGAGACTGATTCGGATAAAAGAAAATTGTTAAAATCCATAACTAAATCTCAGGCCTTGCGGTGGGAGAGATTGAACAAAAACAGAATAGTACGGACCAGTAGAGAGAGGGAGAATCGGTCGCTGGGAAAATGGAATAGAAGAGGGGAAGAGGCCATCGTGACTGACAGGGAAGAAGAACTTTGAGGCGCAAGGTCCAATTGCGCGGCGGAGAGTTTGTTGGTTCCGCCAATAGAGGAGGATTTTGAAGGCGAGAGCGCGATTGGGAAGAGAGTAGAGAGAGAAATCGAGCTTGAGGGGCAAGAGATTCATAGGAAGAGAGGAAGACGAACACGGAAGAAAAAGCAAGCAAAGATGAATTTACAACTAAATCCCTCCGAACTGTGCGGGTTGGCGAGACTTGGCTGACGTGTCAAAAAAATTCCGCTGACATTCCCTTATATTTATGTGTAGACAGGGAATGGATCAGGTCAGTAACCTTATGGTGAGTAACCATGAGTAACCCGTCCACATCAGCATGACATCAGCATCCTATCTCTCATGGAAAGCCTTTAATTTTTCCCTTTTTAATCTTTGACGGACGATTTCTCGCTCATTTTAAGTCAAAATTTAATTTTTTTTGCACAGTTAGATCAGATTAATTGTGCTCTTCAAAATGATATCCACTTTAATATATTTTTCGAACAAAAAAAATTGAGTCATTTTTTACTAGCCTATACCATATGGTATTGACTGGTATTGAAATAAAAGCATACCTATGTTTTGAAAAACGTATCATGGTGGTATGAACAAACCAATACTGTAGGATGGTTAAATACATGATAGTAGAAGTATATTAATTGTAATTTATGACTTTTAACATTGTATACCACACAATACCACCCCGTACCATGGTGGTATTGTATGGTATTGTGTGGTCTTTTTTGGTCCTGTAATTTGTTCACCCAGAAATTTGTAGATCCAATAGATCATGATGAACTCGTCCCTTCTGTGCAAACGTTTTCAAAAACGAATTAAAAACGAAGAAGATACCATACAATACCACCCCGTACCAGGGTGGTATTGTATGGTATTGTGTGGTATTTTTTGGTCCTGTAATTTGTTCACCCAGAAATTTGTAGATCCAGTAGATCATAATGAACTCATCCCTGCTGTGCAAACGTTTTCAAAAACGAATTAAAAACGAAGAAGATACCATATGGTATGCAGTTGGTACCGAGAGGCCAGAATTTTTTTTTCCTAAAAAAATATTGAAAATTGATCTCTTTTTGTAGAGCACGGTGAACTCGTTCCATATGTGCAAAGAAAAATTAAAATTCGAGTTAAAACGAAAAAGATATGAGTCAATTAAGAAAGCTAGTGAAAATAAAAATAGTCTTTAATTCTCCATCCTTAGATCTGGATTTTCTAAATGAAGGGTCCAGATTTGGTTATTGATGGGTGCATAACCCATGGTTATGCACCTTATCTTGAGCCGTGTAGACAATAGTTGGTTGCGTTCTTTTTTAATCTCATAAATATATTATGTATGTCATCTCATAAATATATTATATATTTTACTAATTTAGGCTTTTAGTATTTAGTACCTTAACTAATCAATTGTACCAATGATTTGTAGTTAAGCTGGTCACGAATTATTTTTTATTTAGATCCTTTCTTGCACGGTCATTTCCTAATTTGAAAAAATTAAGTAATTAAAAATTTAGCATAAAAAACTCAATAGTCAACATAGCCAACTATTTATAGCATACTCATAACATAAAAAAAAATACTCAATAGTCATAACCCATAACGCACAATCACCATAATTCAACATTGTTCAAACTTCAAACTTGAAATAGAGGTCTCGAAAAACCACAACATCAAATCATCAAGATGCATAATTCACAATACAACACAAGTTCAAACTTCAAACTTAAAGTAGAATGAGTAGTTCCTCACTTGCCACTACCACCAAGTCCTTCTCCACTAGGATCTATACCACCAACATCAACACAACCTTTCTACTTCAAAGTGGTGCGAAGAATATGGTCACCATCATCCTCCTCCTCGTCCTCGTCTCCATCTGAATCTTCCTCATCTTCATCTTTCTCATCGTCCTCTACCTCAACATGTAAACTTTGTCTTTCACCTTCACTTGGCATAGCATTGTCACTTTCCATGCGAGCTTAATGGTTAGTAGTGACTAAGTGTAAAAAAATACAAATTGTTATAATTCATCTAATATGTTAGTTGGAAAATGAGTAATGGAATAGCTAAAAACAAGTAAGGCTAGCAATTCTTAGCACTGTCATAATTAATTTGATCTTGATCTTCTTCTTCTATATCATCAACTTTTTTTTGCATTTTTATCACTTTCATGCTTTATCCCATCTTCGGCCCAAATTAAAGCCTCTACAATGGGGGGCTTAAATATAAACGAACTAAGCACTTGATCTCTACAACTAAAAGTGGCCTCCGAGGTGACGGAGGAGACTAGAACATCTAGGATATCCTTAACCATCTCGGAAGTAATGTGATATCTAACATTGTTCTTACTCCACCACAACAAGATGTCAAAATTTATATCATTATCATCCTTGTTAATAGCATCATCAGCATATCTTAAGTACATGCTTAGCTCATAAGATTTGAAGTTGCTCATTTCTCCTCTTCTTGAATTCAACGTCAAATTTTGCTCCATAACATACAAATCAAGTACCATCATCAACACTAGGAGTGGTTTGAATAATAGGCTCGGAGGGTTGAGGTGCATACTTCAATTTGTAAACTCAAACATTGCACTCATCTCTGCAGTTACTTCGTTTGTCAAAGATTCCCTTGTCAACTTCTCATACATCACTTCCAACATCTAAGACAAATAAGCCATTTTATGCCTAGGATCTAGCACACAAGCGATGTAAACCAGCCTATTCATTCTTAGGTTCTCCACCTCATCATCATCATTCTCAAAACAATACTTTCGTACCTCTGCCTCCATTCTTATTGACATCCATTGTATCTCTTCATCCATGTCATTCTTAAATGTTTCTATCACTTCATAATTGTCAACAATAGCCTTGAAGAAAGTATGAGCAGTCACATAAGAGGTTCCTGATACATCCAAAAATAACAAGGTAATTATATAATTACCTCAAGTTCAATTAAATAGATTATTTAAAAGTTAATGAAAATCATGAATTATAATAGGTGGAGTTCACACCATTTAATGTCCAAACATACCCTTTTGATATTAAAACGTAACAAATATACACTTTCTGTTAGGCTAAATTACACGTTTGGTGACTTGAATTATACAAATCTTTCACGTTTGCCACTCGAATTACTTTTCTTTCTTATTCGCCACCAACTTTACGAATCGTTTCACCGTTAGTCACTGGCCGTTACACTCCGTTAAATTTGTCGCACATGGAAGTCAACTATAAAGTTTGATCGTTAACTAGATGATGTGGAAATAAAATAAAATATCTATTTATCCACATCATCATTTCACTTACTTTGTCTTTATCATATCAATTATTTAATAAAAATTAATAAATTACAAAATGTATGGGTGGAAAACACTAAATACGTCGAAGATTTCATGGTCGTCGAAGCTCCTGATTACATCTCGAATCTGCCGAATGAGTGCTTTTCTGTTGTTTTCCAATCTTTGAGCTACGCTGACAGGAAGAGGTACTCACTGGTCTGCCACCGGTGGCGCATGATCGAAGGCCAGAGCCCCATTGCCTCTCGCTCAACTTGCTGGCCAATCTCCTTCAGCTGGTGCCGACGTTGTTCACTCGCTTCGATTCTGTCACCAAACTCATCCTAAAATGCCTGTGCAGATCCACGAGCATCGACGACGGGGATAAGGTTCTGCTGGTGCTTCCCGTCGCCGTTGCTAAGTTCCGACGAAGCGAAGATGAAGAAGAGGAATAAGAATAGGGAATCAACCGCGACCCAGAGATTTGTCGTTAACTCCGAGGGATTGCGGCCAATCAATTCAAAACTCAAGCGTGCACACTACAACAGACTGAGATTTCAACATCACCATCTCGCAACTGGGTGTGCACACTACAGTGCTAAACAACTATCTATATAAGAGCCTCCACATCCCCTACATCCATCACAACACCTCCCCAATCCCCATTTGAGATTCCAATCCCATGCTACTTTCTTAAAGAAACCAAACAGTGAAACAAAATGGCAACCTCCCTTTCCCTCAGCAAAGCGTCACTAGTACTACTTTTCATCATCGGAATAGGGCCTCCCAGCTTGCAGCGTTCAGAGAACTCCAATGATTTATCCTCCTGCAAAAAATTAATATTTTTAATTAAAAATATTAATTTTTGGTAATTTTTATTAATTAATTAATATGATAAATCACATAAACAAAGTAAGTGGTATGCCGAGGTGGAAAAATAAATTTATTTTTTAATTTTTATAATTTCCGTGTTATTTAGTTAACGGTCAAACTTTATAGTTTACTGCCATGTAGGAAAAATTTAACGGAGTGTAACGGCCGGTGACTAACGGTGAAACAATTCGTAAAGTTTGTGGCAAATAAGAAAGAAAAGTAATTCTGGTGGCAAACGCGAAAGATTTGTATAATTCGAGTGACCAAACGTGTAATTTAGCCTTTTCTGTTAATCTACCATTTAATGGACTGAAAAATGACCCAAAAATCATTCAATTAAAATTGAAATCTTCCTCTATCCATATAATAATAATATAAAAACATTGTCTCTCTCCATCGTGGGCTGTGGAACTTCAATTTTGCCTTGGTGCGACTTGCCGTTACTCGCACGACCCTCTTCTCGCGGCGTCGGAATCAGCCACTCCATTGATGGATACTTTAAATCCTACCATGTGGGGCACCGATCTAGGTCGCAATTGTTCATTTGTCTCTCCTCGCTCTAGCAAATCTCCCGCTTTTTGGTTCCTGATTTTTTAGGTTTTCCCACCATGGCTGCGTGGAAGATGATTATTTTAGTGATGTTGATGTTGTTGCCGGGGCGGAATGGGAGGACCTGTCTCTTCTCGGGAAGGTCATCGGCCCTGTGCCCCCCATTTCCCATCTCCAGAACACGATGGGTCGCTAGTGGGGTTGCCATGGTAGCATTTCTGTTCTCCCAAGTCACTCGAACCTCTTCCAATTTGTATTCCCCGGCGAAGCATAATGGATCGGGTACGCTCGGCGTCTCCTTGGTGTCTCCCCAAATTCCTAGTCAGCCTAGTTCCCTGGGTGGCGGTCACTCCGGAGGTTATTGAGCAGTTATGGTGAGTTCCGCTTCGCATTCAGTTCTGGGACATCCCTCCTGGCTACTGTACGAAGAAGATGGGATATCTACTAGGCCTGGCACTGGGCAAGACTGAGAAGGTGTCTGTTCATCGGATTGCTCAAACTGGCGAAATTTTTCTCCGGGCAAAGATTTGGATTGATGGTCACGAACCGCTGCCAATCTCGGTCCCAGCATCTCACGAGAAGCAGGGGCGGGGGTTCCTTTGAAGCATTGATCAAGTATGAAAGGCTGCCTCAATTTTGCTACCTCTGTGGCATCCTTGGGCATGTTGGTCATCAGTTTGGCTCTGTTACAGCATACGACAACCATCTAATCTCTAAGAAGGTTGGCTCGAAGCTTATGAGTGGTCCCTTCTGAAGCAGAATCCATTTACCTGGGTTCGAAAGGGGGCATCGACGGAGGGTGAGTCGGTGGCTCGTCAGACCCCTCTAGTCTTGCTGGGGGGCAGAGACGAGTCACTCTCTGGTGCTGCTAGTGATCAGGACATTCCTCATGACAAGCATCCTCATCTGGAATCTATGGACACATCGGAGGATCAAGATGCAAAGGATGGGGTGGAGGAAACCAGCCATAACTGGTCCCTGCCCGCCAAATGAGCATCGTGGCTTGGAATTGTCGCTGACTTGGCTCTCCCTTGACGATTCCTTCACCGTTTGGAGCCATATCTAGATTTTCAGCAGCCATTATATTTCTTAGTGAGACTAAGCGTGATAATGAATTTTTCAATAGGAAGTTATATCGGTTAGGATATCAATTTGTGCATTGTGTTTCTCCTGTAGGTAGGTCAGGGGGCTCGTTGTTGCTTGCTCTTCGACTGTTAATTGCCGAGTTGTAGGGGAGTCTAGCTTATACTTGTTTTTTGAATGTCAGCATATTGTTTGGGGTTCGGTTGCATTCCTCTTCGTTCATTTGAGCTTCGATGTAAATATTCGTGTCTCTTATTTCAATGAATTAGTGCATTTGGTTTTGTCTTATGTTCTCCCTTGCCTTGTGATTGGCTATTTTAACTGTATTCTTGAGTCCTCAGAGAAATTGGGTGGGCGACCTCCTGCCTTTTTTACCATTGAACAATTTCAGAACTTTATCAATGATGCTGGATAATGTTGGTTTTAAAGGCCCTCCTTACACAATACACCTGGTCGAATTGGCAGGGGGTTGCTACTCATATTCTTGAAATATTAGATCGTGGCTTAGTTTCTGATCTCACTCTCACTTTATGGCCACATCTGCAGGTGACCCATCTTTCCGATTTAGGAGCGGATCATAGGATTCTGCTGTGCCAATTTGTTCCTGGTTCAGGTAAAGGCAAGCCACGGTTCTCTTTTAATTGGCGATGGGCGGCAAGGATCCTGCTGAGAGCTGGTGACCTCAGCATGGCAGATTTCTTGCCCGGGCACTCCTCAGTTTCGATTATTCTCCTGGTTCAAGTGGTCCAGGCACCACCTTGTTGCTTGGGCACGTTTGGGCACAACTAACTCAGCCCGGCAAATCAGAGAACTTCGTTATGCCATTGAATCGGCCAGGGATATGCTCCTGGTTCCTTAAGACGACATTAAAGTGCTGGAAGAACAACTGTCGGTGGCATAGAAATAAGAGAAAATCTTTTGGAAGGAGAAATCTCGTATTTCTTGGCTGCATGAGGGTGATGCCAATACTAAATTATTTCAAATGACGATGATACAACGGAGACGGTAAAATCTCATTGAGCTTTTGAAGGATGAGGATGGGGATTCTCATGTTGGTGAAGAGGCCAAGGGGATTGTAGTTGTCAACTACTATCAGCTCCTCTTCTCCTCCTCTGGCAACTCTCCCTATTTCTTGGTGAACGCTCTCTGTTTACCTCGGAAAGTGTCGACAACACACAATTCTCTCTTAACAGCGATTGTTTCCTGATTGGAGATTGAGCAAGCTGCCTTCAGCATTGGGCCAAACCAACCTCCAGGCTCTGACAGGTTTACCTGGGCCTTCCTCCAGGGCTTGTGGGACGTGATTGGTGACTCAGTTATCACTGCAGCTATATCCTTTTTTCGGCCGGGTAGATTATTGCATAACTTTAATCACACACAAATCACTTTGATTCCTAAAGTTCCTAATGCTATCTACATGAAACAGATGCGACCGATTGGCTTATGTCAAGTTTTTTACAAGTTATTGCTAAAGTTCTGATTTCTAGGCTGAATCGTATTCTCCCCGACATCATTAGTGAGTCGCAAAATGGCTTTGTCAAAGCGCAAAGATATCAGTGACAACATCTAGATCGCATAGGAGGTTATGCAATTCCTCAAGACTAAGACTCACGGTCGTGATAAGTCAAGTGGAGCTTTCTCTTTGCGGTTATGGAGGCCTTGGGTTTTGCAGCTCAATGGATAAAATGGACTAAAGCTTGAGTGATGACAATATCCTTTTCGGTGATGATGAATGGTAGAGAGCATGGTTACTTCCGCCCGCAGGTGAGGCATTCGTCAAGGTGACACGCTGTCACCTCTATTATTTGCAATATACAACGAGGTCTTCTCCATGATGATTTCAGCAGCATTAGAGTCCACTCAACTCCATGGATTGAAGACTCACAGGCTCGCTCCAATGACTTCTCACTTATTCTTCGCTGATGACACTTACCTCTTCCTCTGTGCTTCTTCATCCGAGTGTTCACACCTGCTGCATCTACTTCACACGTATGAGGAAGCTAGTGGACAACGTGTTAATCTCCATAAATCTACGGTGTGTTTCAGTGCGAATGTTGATGCACAGGAGGCTTCTATGCTGGCGGCATTGCTGGGGGTTCCCTCCATCGAGGATTTGGACAGATACTTGGGCTTCCCAGCTCGAGTGTAGCGCTCCAAAGTTCTCACCTTCCGATTTATTGAAGATTCCTTGGCTTCATGTATTCAGAGCTGGCGTACTAAAGCCTTTTCCTAGGCAGCCAAGGAGGTGGTGATCAAGGCGGTGGGTTCAGCTACCCCGATCTACAACATGTTATCCTTCCGAGGCTTCCTCCCGGTTCGAGCAGTGTTGTTGGGAAAAACCCTTTGCTGGTCTAGTGAATGTCCAGTTTGCTCTGACCAGGAGGAATCAATTTCTCATTCTTTCTTTTCTGGTAGGATTGCCCAGGCTCTTTGGTTTTTTTTTTTTTTTTGACAAATCCCAGGCTCTTTGGTGGATGGCGAATTTGGAGCATTTACGTCAGCTTATTGTAACCCTTGCTCCTGATGTTGCCTGGTCTCATGTGTTCTTTTCCATGCATCTTTCTAAGGTCCAGGTTGCTGATATATGCTTCTTATGTTGGCGCATCTGGAAGGGGAGATGTTGGACAACTTATGAGCGCCTGCTTATGTTGGACAACTTCCGGGCGCTGGTTGATGAGTGGCGAGCGGTGCATGTTCACAACTCTCCTAGTCGTTCTGTTGTTCGTCGATGTACACCTACTCATGTTGCTTGTCCGGTGGGGGGGCTGCTCCTTAGGTTTGATGGTTCGACTCGACGAAATTGGGGAGGCATAATTGGTTTTGTCGGCTATACCCAAGATTCCTCCCTGATTTGTGCATTTGGTAAGGTCTACCCGGGTTTGTCCGACCGTTTCTTTTTAGAACTCTTAGCTTTACGCGGTTCTATAATATGGTGCTTAAAAAATGGATATAACATCGTTTGCATCTGTGGTGACGCGCAATTGGTGATCCATCGAGCTTTGACGGAGGACTATGCTCATGACCGTGAGGGTGCCGTACTTGAAGAAATTCGAAGGATGAAGGCTTCTTTTTCTTCTTTTATTTTTGTTTATGCTCCCCGTAATATTAACAGGGCTCTCCATTGCGTGGCAAAAACGGTCCTTGTATCGGTAGTTCAACATGTGGTTGACTATCGTTATTTACTTTTCAACCACTTGTAATCTCCTATCTATTTTATTTACCTATCTATGACAAAAAAATTGAAATCTACCCAAAAAACTTATCACCGTTGTCTTCGAACAGTGGAACCTTGTCGTCTTCCTCAATCACCCACCATCGTCGACATAGAGAATCCGGCGCCCACCAACTCTTGCTTCACACGGTACTTCATCTCCTCTTCCTCGCTAACCTTCCTTAATCACTCTCATCGTCGGAACTCCAAGCTAGTGTTGGCGGTCGTTGCTGGTAGCGATGGCAATTTACCCACCCATGGGTAATTTTGCCCAAACCCAAGTAGACCCATTTATTATGGGTGGGTTTGGGTGATGTGTGTATGGGTTTGGGGTTTGTATATGGGTTTGGGTTAGATATGGATATTATCTAAATGGGTATGGGTTGGATATGGATATCCATTTACTTGAGGGTGTTTTAACTACACATGCAAAAATTGGACTTATTTGTAAAACTTGAAAAGTTTAGGTACCAAAATGTAAGACCAAAAAAATTTAGGTACCAAAATGCAATTTTCCATCGATATTTTGAGGACTTATATGCAAAAAAAATTAAATTTAGGTACTAAATATGCATATCTATTAAGTTTAGGTACCAAACTGTAATTTTTATTTGGGCATGGGTACAAACCCAAATCCATTTATTATAAACCCAACCCAACCCAAAATAAATGAGTATGGGTACAAACCCATCAAACTTTACCCATATCCATATATTTGGATTTAATACCCAACCCAATTAGGTTGGATAGTAAAATACCCATGGATATGGGCAAAATTGCCATCCCTAGTTGCTGGCCCCTTTTTGGGCGAAAGGAGATTCGAGAGCACTGGGCTTCGACGCGGCGGGGGAATTGAAATTGCAAGCAACCAGTAGAGAGCTTTTACATCGCGGTTGTCCATCTCTATAGCACCTTGCAACACAACTTCTCCGCTGCTTTATAATCTTTCACTAGATTTAAACCCGGCTCGTTGGCCGGATACATTTATAAATTATATAAATAACAATAGAAATTATTTGAAGAAAATTACGTTTTTATTTGCTATCATAAAAGAATCCAAATATATCATTATGGGAAAAATAAAAATAAAACGACGTGGATCATAATTGTTTGTGACATGCTAATTGATTCTACTAATGTCATTACACAAATCTAAAAAATCTTGCAAGGGAATCAACTCCTACAAAACGTGTTCAATTGAAATAACATGTCGATTGAGAAATGACAGCAAATTTTCTCTTGGACTTCGCGATTATATCGTCATTAACATTACCATTTTCGCTCAACTTTTAAAACATCTTGCTAAAAAAAATTCATAGTATTTTAGTTCTTACTACATATTACATGCACATATGAACTTTCCTCTAATTAATTACTTAAACTTTGAAAGTTAATCTGAATGGGGTTGGAAGAAAATGTATGCTTTCTGTGGGAGTTAACAAAACAAATGTTTATATTTTTGGTTGGGGTATGCCTACGATGATGTGGTCAAAACGCAAGTAAATTTTATTTGGAGTCTGACGGAAAATTTTGATTGACCCTATCATCGATAAGGTCAACCAGTAATAGTTATAATATGTGATATGTTTTGTACGGCTTATATCGTTCACATTCATCTTTAGATTAACCGTTTCAAGGAAATATGTCTATACAAATAGAAATTTGTAGTCCTGTATTTTATATGAAAGATGAAGGTCTATAGAATAAGAGTATCAAATGCTCGATCTTGTGGATGTTCAAGTTGACGAACTTGATGTGAAGGTTGACCTTTTAATTAGCATAATATTATTCTGCTTAGTACTTATAAGTACTGAATACCTAAAATAAAATTCTATAACCTTAAAGGATTCTGCAAAAAGATAAAAAAAGAAGCCCAACTTCTGTAGCCTTGGGGCATCACGGCTCAGTGGAATAAATGGAAGCGATTGAGATAAATAAAAAAGGAAAAGACGTTGGTAGCCTTCCTTGAGATGCGCTCCGGACTCCAATTCATGTTTTAGTACACCCCTCAAGCGGAATCTCTTTATATGAGTTTGTAGATAGATAGATAGATTGAGTTGGAACATAAAATAATAGTTAAACAGAAATTAGGAGTAAATTAGAGATTTTTTTTCCAGAAAATAGCATTGTTAAAAAAAATTACAAATATAGAACCCAGTCCTGAAAAATTCCAAAAATAGCAACCTTTTTCGACAACCGACACTCCACATCGCGGTTTACACGAAAACCGCAAGGTGGGGGCGCGGTTTTCGATGAAAACCGCATGGTTACGGGGCGGTTTTGAAAACGGCACGGGGTGGGGGAGGTTTGGTCAAAAAACGCTGCCCAACCCTGCGGTTTGGTCCACAATTTATTTATTTATTTTTCGAAAAATCCTAAACTAGGTGGAAATTTTAAACGAACGTATTTTTGTGTTCGGGTATCTGATCATCGTGATATTTTTTTTTCGCATAAATTTTCGAGATCTTGCAAGCCGTAAACAAGCTTTTTCTGGTTTGGTCCCCTATCATCCCGAAAAAATATCGTTTGCTACCCCGAATGAGCTTTTTTCCGATTTTGTCAAACTTTGGGCGACCATAACTTTGTGCTTCAAAATACGAACGATATGAATTATTTTTTATTTCGCATAACTTTTTAAGGACTACAACTTTTATCATAGACATCATTTCAGAATGTACGTGGATTTGTGAAAAGGGAGGGTAAAGTTATTCCCAAAACCCTGTAAATCCAATAATAAATCCTGTTTTAAAAATGTCTTCATAGTAAAAATTGTAGTCCTTCAAAAGTTATGCGAAATGAAAAAACAATTCATGACGTTCGGATTTTGGAGCACAAAATTATGGTTGTTTAAAGTTATTGAGGATTTTTAGCGTTAAAGGACTAAAAATTTGTCAATATTTAATTGTTTCAACAAAAGAGTTGTAGTTTGGTGATGTAGATGGTAGGGATGGCAACAAAATCCTAACCCATGGGTACCCACCCGACCCAACCCGGTCAATGCGGGTAAAATCCGTGTTGACGGGTTTTGGGCCGGGTTTGGGTTTAAACCCGTTCACTATTCACCGGGTTGGGTTGGGTTTGGGTTTAGGTAAACCCGGCCCATGGGTACCCGCCCACGCATATAATTATTTTTTCGGTATATTTAATATTCTAAACAACTAATCTTATTTATATTTGTGGAGACATGTCTAATTTTTTCTTTTTAATTGTGTAGAATTAAGTTGATGTTATGGAGTGGAGAGTAAAGAAACTTAATTGAAAGGAAGAAGTTTTCAATTAAACATGTTATTTATGGATAATTTGTGATTTACTTCAATTTTCTTAAGTTTTCTAGATTGGTGTTGAACAATTTGTATAGTTAATTTGTGATTTGCTTGAATTTTCTAGAATGGTGTTTTATATATGGATAATTTTGTATTGAGAGATTGATATTTGACTTTAATTTTGATAAGAACTTGTAATTGTAAATTTTTTATGACAAAACCCGTGGGTACCCATGAACCCGCGGATACCCAACGGCTTGGGTTGGGTTTGAGTTTTTCAAACCCATTGGGTTTTACCCCGGGTTTTTTTCAAAGACAAACCCATGGGTTTGGGTTTGGCAAAACCCGACCCAACCCGACCCATTGGCATCCCTAGTAGATGGTGTGCTAAATTTAGTGATCTATCATCAGGGTTTGAACCACCACCCGCACAACATGTTGCTTTTTTTAATATTTACTAAATAAAAAGATTTAATATGGGATGATTGTGTTTCACAACCAAGGACTTCTTACATACCGCCCCGTGGGGGGTGCAGTTTGCACCCAAACCACTCCGGCCCCATGCGGTCAGCCAAGCCACACCCTACTCGTGCGGTTTTCGTCGAAAACCGCGCCCCACCCTGCGATTTTGATAAAGGGTGCTATTTTTGTACTTTTTTTAAACAATGCTATTTCTGAAAAAAGTCCTAAATTACGGGTATTTTGCGTCATTTTTCAACTCATTATTAAATGTTAGATTAACAGAAAATTAGACGGAATGACATATTTGTTACGTTTTAATATTGAAATGGTATGTTTGTGCAAAAAAAATAGTTGAGGGGTAGGTTTATTAATTTGCAATATTAGAAGGGTACAAAATGCTATTAACCTTTATTTAAAATACAATTGGGGCAATGACGCAGCTAGCTAGGTAATAATCGAGGCGCGTGAATTGTTGGTTGAAAACTATTTCCAAAAAATACAATAGGTAAAATACGAGTTAAAATAAGTCGAAACAAGAGAAATAAAAATAGATATCGAGATAAATTGAAGTAGAATGAGATACAAGACAGATTACAAATAATACACATGCTCCATCCCATGCTATTATGGGCCAAATTTGACCTGTTCTAATGTGCGTCGAATATTACCAACCAGGACTCGGCACGAACCGGGACTCGGCACGGGTCCAGTTGGGTAACATCTAGCAAGTTGCAACATGAGGTTTTTTTTTTTTATACAACAAGACGAGTTTAAATCACCATCAATAGCTATGTTGTTTGACCGATTAAGGATAACAATAATGCGGAGTTGAATTGTTTTGGCTACATAAAAGCGGTGATAAAACCCCTCAATTATGGTCTTGGTAGGAAAAAGCACCAAAGAACCATAAAAGCGGTGATAAAACCGTATCTAATAGATCTTCTACTGGCCCAGTCATAGATCCGGTTCGGTTCTTATAACAATGATGATACGACGGTTGCTATGGAATCATAAGATCGAGCTATAATAGTACAGAGTCCATTTCGTTCTACCAACCAAAATTGAGGGCCGGTATGCTGAATGTTTCTATTACAACATCAAAAGACGTTCTCAAGATCTACAATATCACATTCAGCATGTAAAAATGGTAGACCATTAGACCAGAACCAGATATTCTACCACCAGTAAATGCCCAAAAGAGACGGTAACAGAAGGTTAAAAGTTGACCAGCCTTCCAAATCCATTCATCATCTCTTGTAATTTTGAATCACGATCCCTAATAGCTCAATCTCCCGTAAAGAAAAGGGATGTCCGCAAAATGAGAAGACTATATGATTTCGCGATTCATAGTTTCTCATCGTACCACGCTTCTAGCATTTGGTTTTGTCACAGCTTCCATGATCCTAAACATCCACCTATCAAGCATTCCTGAAATTATGGTAGAGGTAAATGTAAAGCAAGCAGAAGTGGCATGCCTCTAAGTAACAATGCACTACCACAAAATTTGTCAATTTGTTTCCCTCCAAAATGCAGTGACGGATTTCAAACTAATCACTCCTTCTAAACCTTCAATACTTACCACAAGTCCACAACCGTACAATGCAAGCTAGGCTTCAGTTTAGGAGACAAAGAAAGAATACAAACCTGTTACTGCAAATGTACCGCCTAAAACTGCACACAGGCGAGTTATGAAATGGAGGAAACTACGATTTTCTTCCTTGATCGTCACAGTGATGGGTGATAAATCGTACAGAAAGTAAACAGCTGCAAGCAAAAACTTGGTCACAATAAATCACCAGGAAAAAACCTTCCGCCTCTTCTCCCCTCACCTCTATCCATGTTCATAAGATTGCATGTGATTCAACTAACCTGGCCATGATCTATCCAAGTCATTCATTGGAGAGAAGTATTCTGTAACTGAGAATTGATTAGTTGGTAAAACTTCCTTAGAGATGTATCTGTACTCCGTCGGAACGATCTGCAAGATATTAAGGGGCAGAACGTTGTAATTGCTAAGACCTATACCACGAAATTTTCTTTAAAATAAAATAGCAAGCAAAGCAAACGACCACAGACAGAAAGGGATCTACATTCTGTACTCGGGAAAAATCACTCGGTGGGGCAGTGAGAATTTCAAAATTAAGACTGTCTGGGGACAAATTTTTTCCCCCTAGATTGCAATAGTAAACTTCTCATATCGAATAAAGCATCCTCACTAGTTTATCTAAATCTGCATCTAAGAACCTCCATAATAACATATAAAACCTTCCAGGATCCTGAACTCTATTCTAACCCCACTATTGTGATTATCTAATAGAATAACCACCATTCAGTTAACAAGAAAAACTGAAAAGCAGGGGAGCTTCTCATATATGTCCACCAGTACAGATTCCCAAATATCTCAAATCGGGGTTTCACTTGCATATTGTGCATGTCTACATGAACAAGGAGCTCAGTAAAAGCACATAAGAACAGGTTATCACTATGGATCCTGGCCAGAGAGATGTTCAGTTTCAACTGTATACTAACTATTGAAGCCACTTTTAACTGAGCCTTCTGGTCTACCACAATAGAGAAAGCCTCAGAATGTTGCTACAAATACAGTATTTAGAAGCGATTGATCACTTCTATTCATAAATGCAGGTGATGGCCTAAACAAAGTGGGGTAAGAAAAATTCGCTCAGGAAGAGAATTATTTAGAAATACAGGGATCTCTCACTTCTGGCTCAGAGCAGGGATAGCAATGGAACAGCCTAAAGTTAGATCCAATATTTTCCTGCCATTTGAACTTTTTTTTTCACCGAACCAAAAGCTCAAAATGCTTTAGTCATAACTGCAAGATTCATAAGTAGAGAAAGCCCCAACCTTGATATAGTATTTGAATATTCCACTTGACTCATGCAGAATCCTCTCTGTCCCATCAAGAGGGTTGTGAATTCCAGGATATTTTGGCCCGAACGATAGATCGTGAATGATGTGACTCACATTGACATGCTTAGCTCCTTCAAAAATCTGCAATGGCAAAAAACACCATGCAGTCGTTGACAGCTTAGCAGAACACTTCACATTCAACAGTTTGGTGGAAGTTATACATATGTTACTTGTACAAACAGTTGACTAGGTGAATTAGTCTTTCCAGATATCAGCTAAGTGATATAACCAACATAGGAATCATCAAAAGAAAATGTTAAACACTGACCATTTGTGCAACCAAAATGTTCAACCCATGAACTGAAATGTGGAAGTTCCCGGCAACACGTTGGACATCTAAGATACCGTATACCTGCAGATACGTAAAAAATTCAACAAATAAGAAACAATCGCGTGTAATTTCAGGGCATTAAAAAGTTAGGTCTCCAAAGTGGAATACCCGGCATCCTTCTCCGTTTGTCACAGCTTGCTTCACCTTCTTGATCATATTTTCAGCCTCTTCATCAAAGCCATGACTGTGAAGTTTTTGTTCAAGATCATGATGATGTTCTTTGTCATCTGCACACAGTGATTGGCAGACATTAACCTAACAATTTAAATTCGATTTTCTTTGATAAACACAGAGATGCCAACTTTGCATAGTGTATAGGCCAGTTAATAAACACCGAATGATAGTGTTAGTTGACAAAAATATCACATGCAAAAAACTATAGCAAAATACAATGATAGGACTTAATCTCCCTACATACGGTTGCTATCACTAACTTGACCCTACCTCTCTTCTGATAGCATCTTTATCATCTGCCTATTAGAGACACGAATCTAACCCCTATGGAGGTTCAATAATGTAAACTATATATGAAATGCCATATAGCTCGGACGTCAGTTCTTCAACAGATAAGGTGTTTTACTGATGTGAATGTACAATACCATGATCGTGAGTATGCTCCTTTTCCACAAGGTCCGACAAATATTCAGTGCCGATAATCTGGCCATGACTGTTCAGTCGAAGCTGCAATAGTCTGCTTTCGTTAGAACTTAATATTGTTGTCTCCAAGTGATTTAACCAAAGCATTCAAGAAAATCAAAAAAACATGAAACAAACGGAAAAGTTACAGCTTCACATCAATGACTTAAAATTGAAAATACAAAAGTGAGACTTGATGCCAGAATCCAATTTGTAAGTCAGGCCCAAGTAAATAAATAAAAACAATTATTATACATTAATTACTCCTCGTCCTATATATAAAAAAAAATCAAAAGTTTAAAATAAAGCAGTGGTCGAATGTTTCTTCTCATCCGAAGCATATTACTTTCAATGCTGAGAAGCGTGGAACCATAGCCAACAATGCAACGATTCAAGCCATTAAATTCATAACATGAGAAGTCTGAGTTTAATCGTTCATTGTATGAACACTCATTTAAGCCCTTCACCAGAAAATGTAGTACTTTTTACTTTCAGTATTTCTGGATCAAGAACCACCTACTCCCTCAAACTTCTCGTACAATTTCAGAGAACACAAGCAATTCTGGGATAAAGTAGCAAGTGCCATAAGATATGAAGAGCACCAAAGTAGGAAAATCCACAATCCATGAAGTTATGCTTTAGAGTTACTAATTCAATTCCCGCACTCCAAACAATAAATCATTAAGTCATAAAATCTGTGAATACTGACTGCTGCGAAAGGTTTCATTGACATTGAATTTGGTATGTAAATAATACACAAATTACAACTTTGCATATGAAATATTCTTCAAGAGAGAGGAACATGATCTTACTTTCCATATGTTTGTATCAAGATCCACTTCATGCTTGCCAGACATGTCAATCGCATCCACACTTAAGACTAAGAAGAAAAGATGATAATAACTTAACGAGGTAACCACAATAACTTGATATTTGTATAAGATGACAGGACACAGAATGGAAGAAGATGGATGAAGAAAGTAGCAGCATAACTAACCATCACAAGGCAGAGAAGGAAATGTAACATTTATATGGATTGGAAGAGTTTGTCCACGTGTCAGATCAACAGACATCTGCCAGAAATACACAATCAAAGAATCCATTAATATATGGAAGGAAAATACAGCACAGATGACAATATGTATTTACATTCAATATTTAAGAGAACCTAATACATTGGAGTATCAGAATTGCTTAGTTTGTACAACACACCTACTATTTCCAAGACAGCATATCCGTAGCGGATCTAACTTAAGACACCGACCAAATTCCCTTTTTTCCAGGATTTAAGAGAATCTATAATCGATATAGATGCCTGTTACACACCTGATGAACTGTATACGTGTGGAAGTAGTAAGTGAGCTCGTGCAGAAACAGTGTAGCCATTATCACAAGACCGATAACAGAAACTGTAAAAGATCAGTTGGAAATTAGAAAAGTATCCCGGATCTGAGTCAGAACGATGTTTGTTGATGAAGATAGGAGTGCAAAAAATATCAGAGGGTCCTAAGACATAGGAGTTCCATTAGCACATTGTTTTTCTTCTCAATCAAGCCCAAAAAACGAGCAAAAAAGGGTGTGCCACATGGGAAAAGAAACTAAGATTGTTCATTCACCAATGCCACAGCCGCACAGATGAGCATAGTACAGACTAACAACTCAAATAAGAGTGATATGACGATGGCAAATGATCCATACTTCAGAATAAGTAAAGAACAAATAGTTCAAATGGGGAACCATTTTTGGGTAACGGATTGTGTATTAACAGTTAACCACAGAGCACAAGCAATCATTTATGTTCCAAACCAAAAAAATGGAAAGAGTCTGGTTACCAAGAGCTCCGGAACGCGTTTTCTGCAGCAAGTGTTCTTCTGCACGAGGGAAGGCATCCAGGCTCTTTATAGCCTGTTTCACTCCCATCTTTAGCAACTTCTCTTACACCCTCCACCAATTATCTACCGAATTTCTCAACCAATCAACCTACTAACCTGCATGGAAAACGAATTCTAAGCAAAAATCCGCTAAGTTCGATGCATGATTGTCAAACCGAGAAGATCAAAACCAGAACAGCTCAAAATCAGGCTGATGCCAATTTTTCGTTTCTTCCTGCGTTCTGCGTTCACAATCAATCCTACGCCAAATCCCTAAAGAGCAATCATGTGAATTCTAAGCCCTAGTACGAAGCGTTCATCATGCGAGGAGCTGAATGCAATCAATTAGAAAGATTCATCCCGTAATTGCAAGAGAAGAATCCAATCATTTGGAACGAAATGGACCAGTCGAAGCTTCGAGAAGTCTAAATTCTTTGTTTCAAGACATAAAAGGGCATGGACGCCGGGCGGAGAGTGCGAGCACATACCTGTGGGCTGTGGCGACGACCAGAAGACAGACGGAAGGGGAGAGAGATAAGGAAATTCAGTCGATAGGGAAGACCAGCTCGGAATTGACGTCGTCAGCCGTGAACCGAACAAAATAACAAATATGATGGATGGACGGAGCTCTGTGGAGTGTGGACTTTGGCTAGGAATGGCGATGGGAAGGTCGGAGGCTCGGAGCGGCTATCTCTCGCGGCCGGTCAGATATAAAGCCGGTAATTTACTAGAGCACGGGTTGGAGCACGTCCATCTATATGAGTGTGTAATTAAAATTTAAAAATTAGATTTCATTAAAAAAATAAACAATAAACTATAATATGATTAATGTGTTAATTTATTCGAGAAATTGAGGTTCTCCCATATTTTCAAATTACAACATTATTTGATTATTATATCTAAAATATTTAGGGATGACAAAAATATCTGTAACTGTGGATATCCACCCGAATCCAACCTAATCGGGTAGGGTAAAACCCGAACCCGAAGCATTTTTCGTGGGTACGGGTAAAACCCGAACCCGAATATTGCGGGTAAATAATATTGCAGGTAATGGGTGGGCATGGTTATCTCACTATCCAACTCGAACCCGCCCGATTATACACATGCATATGTATTTTGTCTAGAAATAATCATTATTTTTCCCTAGAATATTTTTTATTTAGCATATAAATGTAATATTTTCATGAAATTATGTTGTTTTAATTAATTTTCGTCATTCTAGTGAATTATTGTCGTACTTTTCCTCTTACTTAATGTGAGTATACGTGTGAATGTTAACATATTGGTTGGAATTATAAGGAGAAATTATTACTCATGGATAACCATGGATACCCGAAACCCGAACGGGTATGGGCATGGTTTTTATTTTCTACCTGTTTCTCGTGTGGGTACGGGTATGGGTAAAATCCGAACTACATTGGGTAGGGTAACAGATATGCACTATCCGCCCCTACCCAACCCATTGCCATCCCTAAAAATATTAGATAATAAAATTACAATCTTTAAGTAAATTGAGTAAAATTACAAGTGATTCAAGCATAAATGGATAAAAAATGAGGCAGGTCAGGACTGGTCCGATTGTGATCACTACCAAAAACAAATCAAATTGGTCGTTTAAAATGGATCATGCTACAATTGTTATCCCTATTTGTGGCTCGTTGGGGCCCAATGTTAGCAATCTTGCCTCTCAGTAATGGGTCATGAGATTTCACATATAGTGATGCTCAAACAACATGAGGTGGTTTGATGAAGGTTTGCTAACCTAGGATTGTACTCAAAATCCCACAGTTTAAAAACTTATGTTTTTAATACGAGGAATTTTAGCAAATCAATCGTTTAGATGTGAACATAGAATTTTAATTAGAAAAATCAAGTTACTATCTTACCCTCATCTGTTACCTATCTTCTTCCTCTCCTCCAATCATTCTCGTCCCTTAATTGCAGAAAGAAATTGCAGGCGCATTACGAGAGCAAGAATGTGTAGAAATTTTGATTGATTGAGTACAATTGTGCATTGGAACCCACCATCTCCCAACTTAAATGTAGGAGGGAGTCTCTCTCATACTGGGTTTTATGGATTTGGAGACGGAGCTTGGGGAGAATGCGAAGGTCACCAGCAGATGAATGGAGGAAGAAGAAAATAGAGGGTCCGCGAGACGAAAAGTCATAACCCCACAATTGCCAGAACCCAAAATCCTTTGATTCGCACATAAAATGGACCATCAAATCCCTATCGGCGCTGCCACAGCCACGCACGAGCACGTTGTTGGTGTCCATTCAAAATATGGTTGCCGGATCCGGTCAAAACCCACTAGAGAAAGATATGCATCGGCGATGAGGGCGAGGTCTCTTTGCGACATCGCCCTTGCCCTCTTGGAGACCATGAGAGAAACCCAGAAATCAGCGACGAAATCAAAACCCACCAAAACCTCCGCCGCCATTCTTGTCATCTCCTCCGGACGTAACTTTGCTCCATGGAAGAACCACCCTCCAATCGCCAAAACCTATTCTTCGACGAAGACGACATCAAGTTAAAAATAAGGGAAAGATTGACGGAGAGTGTGAGGAATTGATGGCGGCGGAAGGGATGAAACAGAAGAATAACGAAAGAATTACTTAGGGAAGGCAAAGACTGGAAAAGAGTGATAAAAAGCGAGGGATTGTGAAATAGCACGCACTATCTCTCATCTTGCCAAACACAACATTGTTTTAAAATCCTGCAGAACTATGGATTGTTTTAAAATTCCTTACAAATCCCTCACTACAATCCTAAATCTAAACGACCCCATGGGGTTTACTGAAACTTGGATTATTTGGATTCCAAGAATGTGTTACTACTTCCACTTTTTTGGATATGGCAACTGGTAGCCCTGAGGTTATTTCTTGGTAACGATAGGATTAAGGTAGGGAGATTCTTTATCTCATCTTCTTTTTGCCTTATGAGGGACTAACAACGATGATTAGTGAGGCTATAGTTGGGAAGGAATTACACGCTCTATGCATGGGTCCTTGTTGTCACTTGTTTCACATTTAATCTTTGCATAAATTCTTATTTGTTTCTCCGTGATTCATGGTGATATTGTCAAGCATTTCTATGGCTATTTAAGGATTATGAGGAAATGAGTGGTCAAAAGATCAATCTACAGAAGTCAACAGTTTATTTTAGTCCTAACATCAAGCAAGGATCATAAGAGGAATTGGCGGAGTATTAGGGATAGATTCAGTGGTTATACGTACTGGGGTTTACCTTATCTGGTTGGTCAGTCTAAGATGCAGACTTTTTGGCATGTGGAGAAAAGCAATTGCTCATTGGCAACAACATTGATTTTATGAATTTTCTCATGAAGCCACTTTTGCTTCAATGCTCAGCTCATAGACTTTTGTTGAACAATTGACAGGTGGACAATTATGGAAGCAAGTGCTAAGATTCTAAGGATGTCATAATAAATCGAACACGGAACAATAAAGGACACGAGTTTTACGTGGTATCCCCAACTGATTGTTGGGACTAATCCACGGGAGAGAAGAATCTCTCCGACTGAGCTCTTATTCTTAATCAACCAGGTTGCCTCTCGGCAGTACAAGCTTTATTATATATAACCCTATTACTACTATCATCTAGGGTTATACAAGGAATACAAGCAGTAGGTTTTCGTATCCAGCAAGGAGAAGAATGGGACAGCTGTGTGACCGCTTGCGTCTGTGGACGAGAGGCCTCGCTAGGGCCCACAACATGAGGCTCTTCTCGGCCCTGGCCCAATACGCCCCCGCAAGCTGAACCGTGAAGATCTCGAACGTTCATCTTGGACAAAAGGAAACGAAAACGATCGGCTCCAAGACCCTTGGTAAACAAATCTGCAACTTGGAGATGAGAACTGATCTTGCGCGGAATAACATCGCGAGAAACAACCCGTTCACGAACGAAGTAGCAGTCCATCTCTACATGCTTTGTACGTTCATGAAAGACAGGATTAGCAGCAATATGGAGAGCTGCTTGATTGTCACAGTGAAGAGGAGTCGGACCAGACTGAGGGACACCTAATTCGCTCAACAACCAGCAAAGCCAAACAAGCTCACTGACAGTGCTAGCCATAGCACGATATTCAGCTTCGGCAGAGGACCGAACCACGACCTTCTGTTGCTTTGTGCGCCAAGAAACGGGGGCCGAACCAAGAGAAATGAAAAAACCACTGGTGGACCGCCTGGTGGTCTGACATCCAGCCCAGTCGGCGTCACAAAAGGCTATGAGATCAAGAGTGTTGGACGCCGGGAAGTAGAGACCTTGTCCAGGGGATATCTTCAAGTAACGGAGAATCCGAATAGCGGCGTCCATGTGAGCTTGTGTAGGAGCGTGGACCAAACGGCTCAAAATATTCACACCATACGTGATATCGGGGCGCGAAACAGTGAGGTAGAGAAGGCGCCCCACCAGACGACGATAAGAAGATCCATCAACGAGGGAGGATGAAGCAGGCTTGGTGAGCTGATGGTTCTGTTCAACTGGGAAGGAACTAGGACGCGCATCAAGCACACCCGCATCATTAAGAATATCGAGAACATACTTCCGCTGGCTAAGGACAATGCCACGCGGGGAACGAGCAACCTCAAGACCAAGAAAATATTTTAAGGTGCCCAAATCTTTAATACTGAACCGCTGGTCGAGAAATTCCTTGACCTGAGTAATAAAATCAAGGTCATTTCTTGCGAGAAGAACATCGTCAACATAGATGAGGGCCACAACAAAGGTGTTGTCGCAGCGGTAAATGAAGAGGGAATGATCCGCAGGAGATGCCCGAAAACCAAACTCACAGAGTGATGCAGTAAACTTCTGGTACCAGTTCCGAGAGGCCTGTTTCAAGCCGTAAATGGACTTGTGAAGACGACAAACGCGAGAATCCCCAAGCGAAGAGAATCCTGGTGGAATCCGCATATAAACTTCCTCCTGTAAATCGCCATGTAGAAAGGCGTTATTTACGTCAAGCTGATGAATGTGCCACCCTCGACTGGCGGCTACTACAAGTAAACAACGAACAATGACGAGCTTAGCAACGAGAGAAAAAGTATCATGATAGTCCAATCCTTCAATCTGAGTAAAACCTTTGGCCACCAGCCGCGCCTTATAACGCTCAACAGTACCATCCAGACGATACTTAATTTTGAAAACCCACTTACAGTCGATGATATGAGCACCATTAGGAGGATTAACCAAGCTCCACGTTCCATTGGCAACAAGAGCCTCAATCTCCTTGATCATCGCAAGCCGCCAGTGCTCATGACGGAAAGCCTCGGAAAAGGTGCGAGGTTCAACTTCCTTGGATATATTGGCAAGATAAGCCCGATGGCTGGAACTGAGACGAGCATAAGACACATAATGGGAAAGTGGGTACTGGACATGAGATCCAAACTGTAAGTTGGTTTCATAAATTTCAAGTTTCTTTGGCGGCCGATGCTCACGATTGCTACGTCGAGGGAGAGGAGGATCAGGGGCTGGTGATGACTGCGGGGAAGAACCATTACGTGTCGAGGTGAGCTGCTCAACACCAAGTTCCTGTGCCGACGTGGAGATAGACGAGCATGGCGTAGGGGACGAGCCTGGTGGAGACCGAGGTGAAGTCACAATTGGTGACGATAAAGAGCTATCACCATGTGACGTGCCATGCATGGGAGAGGAAGAATCCGGTTCATGCAATGGCGAAGAGCTGGGGGA